TCTCATCTGATGGAGACTGGTACCCGGAGCAAGACTCTCTCCCCCTGCTGCCTTGCCAAGGGATGTGGATGCCCCTGTGCTCCCATGTTTGAACCCACCTTGTGCTCATCCGTGGTGGCTGCAAGCCCCACAGCTGGTGGGTTTTGCTCTAGGGATGATGTTCTGCCACTTGCTTGCACCCCAGTATGGAGGAGCTGGGCTTGGAGAGCTGCCCTGGCTCCCCACTGCATTGGCCGCCCAGGGAGCCCGGAGCTGGGATGTTGACGGAGGAAGTGGTGAGCTGGGGTGCAAGGAGCCGCGTTCCACCCGCAGCTCAGAGGGATGTGAAGGCTTGGGGATGCATGGAGGTGTTTATAGCTCCAGTTCCTGTTCCTTTTTCCTGCTGGGTTTTGCTGCTAAAGGCTATTGTCAAGCCATTTTGCACAGGAAGGAGAAAGAAGTGTTTTGTTTTAAGCTGATTCTGGGAGCCAGAGAGGAATGTGTGAGCAGCCCTGGTCTCCAGGGCTGACCAGGAGCAGGGACAGCATGGTGGTGAGGACAGAGCCTGGCCCTGGTGGGTTTAGGCAGCCGCCACACCGTGCTTGGGCCATTGGGTCCTTGTTGTAGGAGCTCTGTGTAGCTGGCATTGTGGTCACAAAACCCATCTTGCTGGATGGTCCAGCCTGGGGTTTGCAGCCTGGTGGGTGAGTAGACCCCAGCAAAGGTGCTTGGCTGCACTCAGACCCTGCTGGAAATACCACCTGGCCCTGTTTTGACACCAGGTTTTCGGGCTGGAGGTAGGATGTACAGCTGTGGTATCGTGTGATGGGGTGCTCCAGGAAGCTGCTGAGGTGCTGGAGCCAGTGTTTGGCTCCAGTGTTGGAGGGGATCAAGCTGTGGAACATGCTCCGTATCCTACTGCAAGATCATCTCCTTTTCGCTAGTAAGGGCAAACCTTGGGCTTTTTATGCTGTCCCTGTGACAAGAGGCTCCTCATCCTGCTTCCCAGTGACTCCTGACATGGAGGAGCCCTGTCTTGTGTTACTTGAGATGCTCGTGGGGATGCTGCAGTGGCCTGGGAGGGAGCAGAGAGGAAGCCATAGGCTGTTCTTAGCCCTTTTGTTAAGAAACGTCTTCAAATCAGCCTGCAGGAGCCCTGTAAAATTACCATTGAGTTCCCAGTCATGCCAGTGCCAGCTGATACCCCTGTACTGGGATCTGCACCTCTTCTCTGCCTTGGGTGAGGAAATGTGGCTGCATTCAGGGAGAGCATCTGTGTGCCATAGCGGGGGGGCGGCACTGCCGCCAGCCCTGCGCCATGCTGGGGGCTGTGCCGGAGTGTCTGTGCGGGTGCTGGCAGCACTGAGCCGATGGTTAGGGAGGAGGCCGGGCCGCCTTCTGCTCTGCTTGGCTCCATCCTAACTTTTGGGACAAAGGCTGGAGCGTTTCCACGTCCAAGTGCTGGTGCTTGGAAAGCCGCCAGCTGCCAGCACCTGCTCTGCGGGGCTGCCATGATGCAGGCTTGGGGG